TGTGGAAAAAGTGTAAACTGAAGAAGTTTTTTTTTCAAATTTTCAAAGGGTCAGATTTTTCGTTTTTCTCGGGAAAAAGTCGACTCTCGGCAAAATCGAATTTTTTAGCCGGGTGAACGTTGATTCCAACTATTTAAGCGACGGACTATTCAGAACTCTCAAAAGTATGTGGAAAAAGTGAAAACTGAAAAAAAAAATATTTCACCGGCGGCCACAGGGTCAGATTTTCGGTTTTTACTTGGAACAAGGGTCAGATTTGTTAACACTTTCTTTTTTTATTTGGACAATGCATGCAAGCGGAGGGGCAAGAGTGGCTAGAATAGATTCTGCAACCTTCTCCGCTTGTTGGATAAAAATGTCAAGCCTCCGCATACATGCATCTCCCCTCCACCCTCCCGTGAAATGTCGATTTTCGAGATTAAAAAAAAAACAATAATTGCATTTTTTATTTCAATAACGCATGAGTAAATAGGGATATGAACGCAGATTTAATATAGGCCCATAGAATTACGGGGACCGGCAAGGATTTGGAAAGTCTGAATGCAAGTCCTGCTTACACCTAACAAGTGCTGAAGTGGGACATAACCAGAGGTAGAAAGGTCTCGGAAGCACTTGGGAAGAGGCTTCCCAAGACCTATCCAGTTCTGAATGGAGAGACCTAAGTAGAATTTGTCAGGTCCAATTATTCGACTCGGGCCGCCCTTGACGTATACCCTTTCATCACACAGGCGCATCTCGTGTCCAGAATGTAAACCCATTTTGTCATGCACCGAATAAGGAAAGAGGGTTGGACCACAATCTAGAGTGGCGTGGGCTGACTGAAGCACGAATGTGTGTGCGTCCAATCCTCGAGACCCTCAGCGGCACTAATCGCGTCAGGGCAGGTCCTATGGATAATGTATGTTGAAGGTAGAATTGGTATATACCTTTACTAGAACAAGCAGAAATGATGGAACAGGGAGGATAGAGGCAGAAGGCTGGGGGGGTTATGCACGCGTTGTGGCCTAGAATCGGTTGAGAATTCGGGGATCGTGTGTATTCGCCGTGTCAATGTGTGCTATCGATGTGTGGGTGGGGCAACGTGTCTGTATTTACTAGTCTCCCCCGATGTTAGTTGTATATGCAAGATCTCAGTATTAGCAATATCCATGATGGGCTAGGGCTGTGAGGAAAGGGAGACGGAAATGGTTTGGCTAATCGGGGTGGGGCTGGCTCCAAACGTTTACCAGTGAATGGTACGAATGCCTTTGGCTAGATACGGGGCATATATATCTGACGATTTGGAAATCTTCGACGACAATTCATCCCCCGGCTGCCTCCACCCACGTCGGACCTCAATGGGTCAAACGTGCTGGTTTGGTTTATGGGAATACACCCACGCTCCACTGAATTCGGGGTGAACGCGTGGAGAAACGCAATCATGTTTTGCTTACGCTGGGGAAAGTCAGCAAAGTTCTCGAACAAATCTTACTTGTGCCAAAAAAACGTTTGGTAAACATTATGAAAAAATGATTTTTGTCAGTAAAAATTGCCGAACTCACAATTCGCTCACCGATCACGGAATCGACGCAGAAATTTTAAGTGACGGTATCGGAATTTTTCACTGGAGATTCAGGTAAAAATTACGGAACGCTCTGGACAAATTCCGTGACAGCTCCGTAAAATTTCCTATGACGATATTTCGCTCTGGAATTACGGAAAAGATAAGTAATTTTTATTGATTATTTTTAGGCAGTATACCCGACAGTTTTATTTCGGATATTTCCTCCTAGTTCTTCATTTTTTTTACCTGAATATTTCGCAGTAGCTCTTCATTTGTTCGGCTCATTTCATTAGCATAATTTGTTCAAATTTTCCCCAATTCACCTCCTGATGTTGTCCACTGCACTCTGCTTGGCCAAAATCCGATTGGAAAAAATAATCCGACAAATACCCCTCGAGATTCAAAATTAACCGGGTATTTTCCTCAATCTCCCCTGCAAACAAACCATCGCGCCAAGTTTTGCAGAAAAATCTTTTAACCTGCAAAACTTGACACCCTCATTTGTTTGCAACGAAGCTATCAGGAAACACCCGATAATTTTGAAGCCCTTGGGGTATTACTAGTGATAAATACCATGCGGTTAAAAATAAAAAACTGTAACATTACACGTTCGCAGACGTTGGCGTCACAATTGAACCGGAAATCCCGATCAAATTTGTGACTGATATTGCTAAATGTGGACACAAAGTGGGCGTGAGTCATGTGAGTGCGTCACCAGGAATAAATGCCAACATTCACAATTTCCATTCGCATGTAGCATTTCCAGTCCTGCAAATATTTTCGAGGGGACAGGGTGAGGGGAATGCGATGGTTTCATTGGTTGAATAATTAATTCCGAGGAACTCTGCAGAGGTTACATCTGCCGCAGAATGACCCAGACTGCAAGTTACTGCAGAAACATGAGCTGGGTTTGATATAGATGTGATTCGCATGTGTCGTCTTCATGAGATTTCACGGAAAGAATATAATTTTTTTATCGTTCTTGAAATTTTTTATCAAGTGACGCTTTCAGTTGAATTTTATGGGATTTCGTCGTTTTTGAAAATCCAGTTTTTTTTATCAAGGGATATTTTCGAGTAATGTTAAAGTGATTTTGTAATTGAAAATTCGTAATTTGACAAAAAAAATCAAAGGAGCCTGTGAATTTCAGTTCAATTATTTCATAAAAATTAATAAAAACTCTCATTTGTCGATTTTTATTAATTTTCAGGGAAGGATTGAAATAAAAATCACTGCCTTTATTGATTTTTACGTCGAATTGTGGAGTTTCAATCCTGAAATTCAGTACAAATTCATTGGAAATGTCCTTTGATAAGAATTTCCACGGAATGTTCCACAAATTTTCAACGATGCAGCGAAGTATCAAGTCTCCTCTCAGTTGACTCCACTATCGTCTTATCTCTCACAATGGGGCCAACTGCAGCTGTGCCTCATCTACGAAGAGAGCTGAGAAAGTTACTGCAAATTTTTATCAAGAGACACTTTCGCGTTGTATTAAATAGATTTCTTCATCAGAAATTCACAATTTAATAAAAATAATCAATGGAGACTGCATTTCAGTTCAATTATTCCATGACAATTCATAGAAACTCTTAACCCTCAATTTTCATTCATTTTCCTCAAATCATTGAACTAAAAATCGCTATTTCTATCGATTTTGTCATCGAATTGTGGAGTTGAACCCCGAAACTCCGTTCAAACTCATTGGAAGTGTCTCTTCAACGATGCAGTGAAGTATCAAGTCTCCCCTCAGTTGTCTTGACTCCTTTCTCAAAGAGAGCCGACAAGGTATACTGCAAAATTTTTGTCAAGGGACACTTTCGCGTTATATTAAATAGATTTCTTCATCAGAAATTCACAATTTAATAAAAATAATCAATGGAGACTGAATTTCAGTTTAATTATTCCATGAAAATTAATAGAAACTCTCAACCCTCAATTTTCATTCATTTTCCTGAAATCATTGAACTAAAAATCGCTATTTCTATCGATTTGATCATCGAATTGTGGAGTTTGAACCCCGAAATTCCGTTCAAATTCATTGGAAGTGTCCCTTGACAAGAATTTCCACGGAATGTACCAGCAATTTTCAACGATGCAGTGAAGTATCAAGTCTCCCCTCAGTTGTCTTGACTGCACTATCATCTTATCTCCCACAATGGAGCCAACTGCAGCTGTGCTTCATCTGCAGAGAGGGTTGGGGAAGCTCAGTGCGATGAGAATGCGGTGACTACCATGAGAATCTCATGGGCTCCGGATCGCGTTACTCTAAGTACTAGTTGACCAGATTTCAGATTCTCACTACCCCCACCGCTGCCCCTCGTTTTTTACTTGCGATTCTCGGGAAGTGAACCACTACCAACGAACTAATCGAAATTCAGAGTCTCCGGGGATTCCAAGGTGAATTCTTGGGATTTCCAGGAGGAGTTCATGCCTAAAATATGTTAACAATTCATTTTTTTGGGATTCTCAGTGGGGTGGAATGACGAGTGGGTATTTCATGCATTTGAGGTCGCAGAGAGTGCAGGAAATAGTTTTGATTTTCGCTTCCAATGGGTGGACGCAGTGATGCTGTCGAGACTAAACGAGAATTATTTTGGAAATATCATCACGGTCTAAACAAATATCGAAATGTAGGATCATAATCATTCAGACGCAGGATATTTAATTTAATGAAATAATGAATGTATATTCTTCATTTTCTACACGAAGAGAAATATTCAAGAAAAATTAGGGAACATTTCCCGTAATCCGCAAGCGAGAATCGTTTTCAGTGAATTTCTATATGAATATAAGAAATAAATCTGAAACGTTCAGTAAAATTTCGGGTCTGTCACCGAAAAAATACGAAAAAGTCACGTAATTTTTCTGGAAGTTGTAAAATCTAACAGAAACTTCAAGACTTATTATGCCTCAGAACATGAAAATTCTTGGATGTTTAAGAATTTTTACGAAAAGTTCCGGAAAAATTACGGAACGTATTGTTAAAATCTCCCCCCCACGGTGACTCATGGCTAGCCGTGAGGCGTCGGACGGATGAGTAATTTTTACGGAACAGATCGTAGAATTTACGTGACGATTGACACTTTTTATTGAATTTTACTTCGCTCCCAGATAACGTTTCGAAACGTAATTTTTACGTCTTTTTTCTGGTAATTTTTATTGAATATTTCTCTCCGTGTAATTATTCGTTTTCAGGTCTATATAATCGATCTTCAACGTATGAAAAGTCTCACTCCAATAACCCACGACTTTTGAAACTCACAGTAGTCTCCCTTTAACAGCACTAGAATTTTTCTAGAAAATTTTTCTCCGTGTAGTGATTTTTAATTGATCAGCTGGTGATTGTCAAAAATTTCAAGACTTTTACCTGAAATTTCAGGAGTAAATTTCTGACTTTGTCCGCCGCAACACGTGGAAACGAGTATATACGTTTCGAAGTTTCATTTAGACTCACCTGTTATACATGAGGACATCGGGTTTCCATAATCTGTGGGGCGGAATCCTGAGGTCTTTAACTCCACCGTACTGCGATACGTTCCACCTCATGTTGACGTCGTTCCATTCCTGAGAACAATAGAAATGACATGAATATAAATAAGAAAAATTACCAGTGTTATTTTACTAGTTATAACGTAAAATTGTTACTCGACATATTGAAATTTTGTGTTACTATCTGGAGAGAATCTATTTCCTTATTCGAGAATCGTTCCCGATTTTTTTTTATGTGAATCGTGCTATTGACTCCACACATACGAATATATTTATCGCGAGAGATCAAGGCGAATTCCACGACGATTGGATCACGTACTTGAATGTAATGTAATAACTATCGGTAGTCCGAGTGGCGGATGCTCGGTAAAGAAATCGGAGGGAAATCCTCTGGAAATGGAGAGTGCGGTTATTTGAGGAAACATTTAACATTTACTCAATTGAAATGAATAAATTGTTTACCTTATCTCAATAAACGATTTGTTTGGAATAAATAAATTGGTTTCTTGAATCGAATAAAAATTTTCTTAGAAATTAATAAATTATTTATTTTATATTATGAAAATCCTTTTTCTTGAAACAAGTAAACACACGCTTCTTCATTTTTAATTTCGACATTTTTGCAAATGAATAAAAAAAAACAAATCAAGATTTTTAAGGGATTCAAATAAACTATTTTTCCGGGTGTGATTGCATAATTATTTACGCGCGCTTATTTATTTTTTCTCCATTCTTTCTCTAATTTTCCCGTGAAAATAAAATATTCAAATGAACCCGCGAATTCGTGAGAATTTTTCCAAATACACCCGCCCAATTGTGAAAGAAACGTGACAGAGACATAATTGACTCGGATACACACACCCCGGAGGTGTCTAAAATATGAGTACACAGTAAGAGTCGACTAACCCCGACACATTTTCCCTTTCGCCGCGCACCACAGTCCGAACGTAGAAATGAAAATGAAATTAAAATTTATTTCCATACAGAGTGAGCACCGGTATTCGAATTCCAGTTTAATGCCCACCCCAGATCGCTTCCCATTCATTTTAATTTCGATGAAATATTCAATGCTATCATGAGAAATATTTTTATGAATATTTTTTGCATTCTTAATGCCGCGCCCCTTCAATGACACTACATCATCTGCGCTTTAATCCGCGTTCTGAGAATTTAATAGTCGCGGGGATAATTCATTTGTTCGCAGTTTGCAGGTGAAATGGACGAAGGGAATGGAGAAAGAATGGGGGAAGATAGTGAACCTTTTAAAATACTTAATATATAGCGGAGTATCGGGATCGAACGGCGAATGCGAATGGCATGGAATAAACACCGAGTGGACCTTGCCCTCAATTACGGCATCCAGGAATACAATTGCACATTTTATTCTGTTTATTTTCATTCGCATTTGCCCGTGCTGGAAATTTTTGTCTGAATTTTACGAGAGGAGGTTCTTGAAATTTTAGATAACGTCCTGAGTTTTCGGGGTTTTTGTCGGATTACCTATTGAAGGAGCAACTTTTTTAAAAATTAGTTGGGTCGAAAAATTGTATGTTCCCCTGAAGAGATCTTCTATCGTGTTGAATTAATTTACTTGTGAACAAAAAATAAAGTTTTCACCAAAACATGATAATTTTTGTAGACTGTTAGAAAATTACTTTTGAAATTTCAAGTGAAAAAACTTGAAATTTGTAACAACGACAAAGTTACATGAGTAATTATCCGTTAATTTCTTAAATATTCAAGTGATTCTCGATTTTCAGGTCCATGCAGAACTGAAAACCCTTGGAAATTTTGAAAATTCACGCAATAACTTTTCTGAATTCTTAATCGATTGAAAATTAAATTGCATCTGATGTTCAAAAACTGTTATTGACAAAACTAAATAATTTCAAGGGGACAATTTTTTTTCGGAAAAAAGTATTCTTTCTGATGATCGCGACAAAAATTCAATTTTTAGGTAAAATATTAAATTTCCTTCTATCAAGTTGGTTATTGCCCCGGTGCAGTATAACCCGAAAAACATTAATATCCTCCCGCCACCCGCCGAATCCGCGCGTGACCATTGTACCCTCCATCACTATCGCGCAGTCCAACATACGACCGATTCCAATTTGCTTGCCAATCAATTTTTTCCCATTCATCCTTCTCCTGACAAATTGCCAGAAAAAATGTTGCTAATTAAAACATTTCCAAGACTCCAATTCAGCCATAAATCCCACGAATTGGTCCTTGAATCAGCGGGACAAGAATGAAAGGGATAGGTATTAAAAAAATGTAAACGAAAAACTGAACAAAACAGAGGCATGACCCTCAGGGCAGGCACTGCAGTATTCCGGATGAGCCCAGTTTGGAAACAATGAGGGATGAAGGGTAATACTGCTGCGATGAGCATACAAAAAGGGCAAAATAATTTCTGGGTTCATTTTTACACTCACGCTATTATACATCTCTTGAAGCTCGATTGATGGCCAAGTATTTATTTCCGACAATGGGACATTTAGAGGGATTCAAGATCCTATTAGTCATTAATTTTGATTTTATTTTAGGAACCTGAGAGGATTGGATTTTTCAATCTGTAACGAGTGCGGAATTTCTATTGAAAACTAGAATTTTGCATTAATTGGTACCGGAGAATTAATTGAATCGGCATTGAATTGACTAGTTGTTCAGTAAAAAAAATATAGAAATTCCATATGAATGCATTCGTTGAATATTCATTAAAATTATGTTTGAATGTTTAAAGATTTCCATTTCTACACTCACATTCTCGTGAATTTTCTGAAATTCCGTTGATAGTCAAATACTAATTTCGAACATTGCGACTTTTAAACGGATTTAAAATCTAATTAGACATTCATTTTTGTATTTATTTCGGAAACTTAAGACGATTATACTTTTTTATATGCAACAAAAGCGGAAGTTTCAGCGGAAACTTAATTTTTTCGATAAATGGAAATTGCAAAATTAAGGGAATTTGCATAAATTTCCTAATTTTCCAGTAAAAAAAATTAATGAAATTCCATATGAATCCATTCGTTGAATATTTAACAACTTTTCATTCGAAATTTCAGGTGCATGGAGAGAAAACTAGCGGAAAAATGAAAAAAAAAATCGTTTTGTGATTCAGTTTCACACTTGCATTTTATGAATTCCTCCTAAAAAGAATAATTGAATTTTCATGTTCAATTTTTATTTCTGAATATTCAGGGACACATTAAACTATAAAAGACTTTTTTGCACTTTGTAAACTTAAAACAAATAAAGACGATAACATAAAATACAATAAAACGACTAAAGTAAATGTCATAAAATAAAATAATTCTTGATAAAATTCTGGATAAATCATACCATTTCAGTACAAACAACACAACACAAAGTGAATGTTCCGGATAAACCGAAAAAACCTCTCATTCCTTCCGCATTTTGGTTTGTTGTGCAGTAAATTTTCTCACTCGCATTTTATGAATTTCTCCTAAAAAGAATAATTGAATTTTCATGTTCAGTTTTTATTTCTGAATATTCAGGAACCAATAAACTATAAAAGAATTTTGCGGGTTGTGAAGTAAAATCCAATAAACACAATAAAATAAAATACAATAAAACGACTAAAGTAAATGTCATAAAATAAAATAATTCTGGATAAAATTCTGGATAAATCATACCATTTCAGTACAAAAATCACAACACAAAGTGAATTTTCCGGATAAACCGAAAAAACCTCTCATTCCTTCCGCATTTTGGTTTGTTGTTCAGTAAATTTTCTCACTCGCATTTTATGAATTTCTCCTAAAAAGAATAATTGAATTTTCATGTTCAGTTTTTATTTCTGAATATTCAGGAACCAATAAACTATAAAAGAATTTTGCGGGTTGTGAAGTAAAATCCAATAAACACAATAAAATAAAATACAATAAAACGACTAAAGTAAATGTCATAAAATAAAATAATTCTGGATAAAATTCTGGATAAATCATACCATTTCAGTACAAAAATCACAACACAAAGTGAATTTTCCGGATAAACCGAAAAAACCTCTCATTCCTTCCGCATTTTGGTTTGTTGTTCAGTAAATTTTCTCACTCGCATTTTATGAATTTCTCATAAAAAGAATAATTGAATTTTCATGTTCAATTTTTATTTCCGAATATTCAGGAACCAATTAAACTATAAAAGAATTTTGCACTTTGTAAACTAAAAACAAATAAAGACAATAAAATAAAATACAATAAAACGACGAAAGTAAATGTCATAAAATAAAATAATTCTTGATAAAACTCTGGATAAATAATACCATTTCAGTACAAACAACACAACACAAAGTGAATTTTCCGGATAAACCGAAAAAACCTCTCATTCTTTCCGCATTTTGCCCTCGACACAGTAAAAAAATTTCCTCAACTTTTCCTCCCCGTAGAATATTCCATCAGTGTAATGAGCAATATCAATTATTCAATTTCGTCTAATCTATTTCCATTGTGGCATTCATATGAATCTTCTTTCGGTCCCCCAAATGACTCCATAATTCCAGAACATAACGAGTTCACGTCCCTCGCGGTCTGGCAGGAGTTGGCGAGTTTCGTTGACATTAACTGAATTGTTTTCTCACTCTTGATGCGAAGCACAGTTCCACCCCACGTTGGTCACAGTGGTCTAGCAGCAGTGCATCACTTAACGCTGCTTGCAGATGTGTATTCCGAGTTTTCCATGAGCTTTAATTCCGGAGGATGAGCAATTATCATTAAACCAAAGGATATGGGAACTGCATCGCTAGAGATTGGAGCGTGTAACGTATCGGTTGGTGAATGCAGCATGTGAGGCTCTCCCTCGCCCCCACAGACTCCTTTCTTTATCCAGATCCAAGTGGGCTTGAGATTCCGGTGAATTTCACGGAGCTGAGCACTTCGAGAAACATGAATGCAAATGTTCCATCTTCGTGAGGATTTCGTGGTAATTCTTGTTTCACTTTAAATCCAAATAAATTAGATGCATATACTTCGCCCTTTGGATGCGGCAGATTTGGATGTATTCCCAACGCTCTGCACCCGGAATAATATAAACTGATTAATTTCCAGGGT